AGCTATACGTTTACCCTCATCCGGTTGAGGCCTATACTAGGTATCCATTCATTCCTTCTATGACAGATACAGTGAAATAACGCCACCCATTCGCTTAACGTTAACGCTACACAACCGAAACTTCGTCGGTAACTCATACAAAAGACGTCCAAACAAACACTATATACAATGTGCTTTTTATCACAACGGCCATCCAAACTAAGAGAAAAATTATTTTTTCTCTAAAATGTAGTTTACCTCAAAACATCGTATCTTCACCATCTTCATCACACCTAAATATTCTATCATAAACTATACAGCATTTCGGTTTTAAAACAACTAGTTGCCGGTTACCTTTTCGATGGCGCCGTGTAAGTGAAGAAAATCGATCGCTGGGCTTTGTTCAGATCAGCTGTTCCTCTGTCCGTCCATTGCTCTCCATCACGTCAGGGTCACCAAATTGTTGTGTTAAAAAATGAAGAAACGCCGGACGGACAGAGGTCATCGCTGATCGAAAGGTTCAAATCAAATGTATTTAATAAAGGAGATGGCGTTGTGGTAAAAAGAACATCTCAGCTGAGGAGCCGCTGGTCTCAGCGACCAACAGGCCCCAGGTCAGTCCTTTGACCGTCCCTAGTGCCCGTCTGTCGCCTCCACCAGCGAACTCGAGAACAATGGTTCCTACAGGTATTTATAACAATGCTTAAAGGTGTGAAAGTCAGTGTCCACACCTCTGGGAGGTGTGGACACTGACTTTCTTCTGGTGAGTTCAATGTAACTCGGGATTTCGAATGATCCTTAGTCAATATCAGTGGTTGTGCAAGTATTACATGCATGCATTCCAGTTGATTACATTACATCAAATACAATCATAACTGCAATGGTATTATTCTATTACAGTTGCAGAATTACAGTGGTTTTACAATATTGTCATTACTTTATTGATTACACAGTTTCAGAATCATGGCTGTATTCTGGTGTACACTATATGCATTTTTATTAATTTTATGAACCAGATTGTCAATTTGTTTCTAATATCCTAGAGTATCCTAATAATACTGTAGTAGCCTACATAGGATAACCATGAAATGAATATACATCATAATATGAATATATAAATAAAATGAGGCGGGTGACCAATAGCGACAGATCTGCCAAACAATTATGAGTGATTGGAAGTTGTTTTTATCCAATCATGAACAAGGAAACTCAAGCCTGGTCTGCCCACGTGTGGTTTTGCTGCCAATCACGAGTGATTTTATTTGTTAGTAAGTTGTGGTTTCATCCAATAAGGAGTAAAGATATTCAAGCCCGCTCGGCTTGGCCACCCGCGGTTTCGCTGCATTCATATGCTAATTCGGGCAATTCGCACCTCCGCCAGCTCTCCACCTACGTCATGGTTCGTTTCCGACAATTTATGGCACAGACAAATGCGACGTGCGCGGGTTGCAAATTGTCGGAAATTAGGGAGATTTCCGGGCGTTTACGGGGACGAAAATCTCACTTTTCATGCAGTGCTTCCTGCACTATGATGCCCATTTCTGAACCACGTTTTGATGAAGAAGCATTGATATTGAGACGTGCTTTCAGACGTAAGAGGGTCTTTCGGGACAGATCACTGCACTTTTTTGCAAGCGCAATGTTTTTATATGCCAAAACTGTAAATAAAGGCACGATTTGCCATACTGTCAGAAGTGTGTGTTTGGCACTGAAGTCCTTGGCACACATTTTCACTACCTTACCTGGCCACATAAGAATGTGTCACATCACAGAGGATTCCCACATATGCCTGTACAAATGGTGATTGTGTTTGAAATGCAGTACTGGAGAATGTACCTGTGGTGGCGGGCGTGGTTTGGCTCAGCTGCAGAGGGGATGGAGAGGGGAGTGGCTCAGGGAACGGTGCCAGGTGGAGGCATAATTGGCCTCAGGTGGAGAAAATCTAGTTTGTTTTTTTCCCTGTATTTCAGTAGTGGTTATCCAGCGACAGCGAGGGAGACCGAGCCAGACCCGGAGGATTTACACTGCGCTAAAAGACGAAGTAGAAGTTGGTTACCGAAACTACCTCTTGTATCCTCGTCATTCCGGGACCCCCCAAGGATCCGCACCTTACAGTACCATGTATGAAGAGGGCAGTTTCTTCAGGTGTCCCACCCGGCGCCACAGGAGCACAAGGACTTACATGTGCCTGAAGCCGATCTGCAGGAGGTACGGTGCGTCCTATCTCAATAACAAATAAATGCCATTTAACGTTAGATATTCATTCGATTGCCATATCAATCCAACCTAAATTAATACATATTAACATTAGATTGTATAGACGCCACACCCATGTGAAAAAAATTTGGCAATTGCCATAATCACAATTGGAGCCTGCAGGGGTCACTGTAGCCTCTTCTTTTGGACAGGACATCTACATGCATGTCCTTCAATTGACTTCATTTTTTGGCGGAATGTTACGACTAGGGTCATATGTGTATAGTGTTTTTGGTTTTCCTTTTGTGTCTTTCTGGTTTCCCTTTCCTTCATTCAATAAGGGATGTGCCACAACCATGCGCGGATTAGTGGACGGTCTCCTACCCGTCCTGTGATCGGCTGCAGTACCTGCATATAAGGGAAGCCAAGATGGCGTCCGAGGCAGAGCAGGCCAGAGTTGGGAGAACAACAACAACAGCAGCAGCAGCACACCCTCAACCCAATGTTGACCCTCGACGACCCTCGTCGTCCTCCTCTCCCAACCAGCCACCTGTGTTATATTGTGAAGCCTGATAAGAAGTATGCCGTTTTTCTTTTGAGTTGGTTTTCTCCTGTTTTAAAGTAGATAGATAGTTAAGACTGGTGTCCTTATTTTTCTCCTTTGTTTTGGTAGGTCAGCGTCTTATTTTTAGCTAGGATCGTTTTTTGGTTTGTTTATTATATTGGGGATGGGCAACGGCACAGCCGGGAAGATTGGGGCCTATCCATGTTGCACCCTAGGCACCCCTAGACTGGGGTGTAACAAGGAAGTTTCCAATCGACATACTTTATGCACATCTTTGTCTTTAGTATGCACTTGTAGCTAATCACAAATAAAGCACAGTAAATTGATAGTTGTGTGTTTATTTTGCTCGCTCATGTTATTACAAGGTGGCATAAATAGCTGTATAAAATTATCCTGGAACATTTTGTTTGTTTTACTAAATAGAAAAACATAAAAATAAGCACAAAATAAACACATTATAACGCAGAACCATGCTCTTGAAAACAACTATTTAACACATTTATCCCACTCTTATCAAATCCTGCACCATACTTAATGGCAGTTTGCAGGAGTGTTTTAAAAGATTCATGACTTTGATGTGGCCTACTTGGAATGTGATGGTGTCCGTGCGAGCACTGACCTACATAGTAATACTATAGTATAGTTCAAATAAAGGCACAATTACATGACCGTTGTGTAATTGTACTGCTGCCATCAAGGTAAAAGACTAAAGACCCAATTAACTGGCTCATTGACACGAGTGCAGGCTGATGCGGTTTGCAGTGAGGATCTCTCCATCACCTGACTCGGCCCCGGCCTTTGTCTCTGAGGCTCTTCAGGTGTGGCCCTTGAAATTGACAGATGTCGTAGAGCCTGCGTGGCTTCACGTGCATCATACTGGAAAGGTATTTTAAATGTATGGGCATGGTAAAAGGATGTTACAATGTACTGCACAGGCTGTATTGAAACAAATTAAGCTATTACCTGAGGTCGTGTGAGAGACCGTTCAAATGGGATGTTTAAGTTTTATCAATCATTTAATCAAAAACCACAAGAAAATGATTAACGTTTGTCTCACTTTACCTGCATGACACGATACCACTAACGAAGCAAACACACGGTATCTATGTAGTTAGCAGTGAGGTCTCCTTGGAGACACTTAAACATTACAGTTTCCAACTTGAGCACACATGCACGCAGAAAGTGGGGCTTCATGTCAACACAGCAGCTCTCCATGTTCTTTAATAAAAGACTGCGACACTAACGACATGAAAAAGTGCTGCTGCATTTAAAATCGTTTTGACAAAATACAAAATCAACTTTCCTGTGTCGCTCATGACAGTCTCCTCCCCTCAGTGTTTAATGGTGGAAGCAGACACCGAGCGCCCATTCGATCCACCAATAGAAACTCCTGGTTCATTCAGCGTCGTAAGCCCCACCCATTACATCAATTTTTTTGTTACACCTTTATAGGATCATAAACCATTAAAAAATATTAAGAGCTTTTGTGTTACTTACTAAAATGTAATGTTATCAAATGTTTCTAAGACTATTCTTTGAACAACAACACAACTTTCTATCACTCCCGACCCTCTGTACTCGGATCAGGAACCGTTTAGCACCGGCCTCTGAAAAACCCTAAACAATAACCGTTCCTACACCTAACACACCTGTCAACCGCTTTTTAAAAATCTGATTGACAGGTTGATAATCATTGTAAAACACGCCTGATAAGACAGCTCTCGCCACTATAGCAATAAGTACAAAGGGCAAGACATAAAAGATTATAACACACATATATATATATATATATATATATATATATATATATATATATATAATCACCCCACAAAAAAGTATAGAGTATACGTTACAAAAAAGAAGAAAACTATTGGGGTTAGTCCATTGCTTCTCTTTGGTCTGGTTTGAAAGAAGCAGAGAAACACATTAGGACAAGGGACATATTGACCAAAAAAACAAATAATAGTATATAACAGTTTGCATTTTTTGTTGGACACGGCTTTTGAGAAATGCATCGAGTAGTTAATGTTAATGTTTAGTGCCTTTAATTACAGTACCTGAACTCTATCCACCTCGTTGTAGTATTAAGACAGCAACCATGGCAAAGAATGTAAAAAGCATTTTAAATAAAACCAATGAAAAAACATTGAAAAGAGCTTTTGTGTTACTTACTAAAATGTAATGTAATTTTTTCTAAGAACATTCTTTGAACAACATGCACAACAGAACTCACCCTTACTATCACTTCTGACCCCCTGTCTCTATTTGGACACTTTATTAGCAACAAATAAAGTTAAATACACAGTGTAATATTTTGAATGAAGCGTTCACACCCTCTCAGCCCCAGTACCAAGTGTTCAGATCATTAAAAGCTTGGTACTCCTTGTGGTTTTGTAAGTATCTACATGTTTTACAGGCGATTTCTCTTCCAAACAGAGCGCCTTTAACTTTAAACGCGCTTCTCCAGTTGAAGAATCGCATGTACTCGGTGTGATTTTGGTCAAGGTAAAGTAGCCGCTCTGCCAACTCCTTTGGAGAAGGAAAGTCATCGACATGAATGAAAGACTCAGCTGGGGCGTGGCCCTCATACACGTGTCTTGGCGGGCCCATAACTACCGGAACACTTCCCCAAGTCAAAGGATTAAAGAACTTCTCTGTGATGTAATCTCTGTGGAAGGAGTTCTCAAAGGAGAGGTAGAATTTACAAGGAGAAATAATTTTTACAAAGTCTTCATTACCAATAGGTTTTTCAAAGGCTCTCCCATAAGCATGAATCGTTACGTGTTTCTTCAGTTCAGTGTAGTACTGAACTCTCTTCATATTCGGGCTCCAGTTGCTCACAATCCAACACACCAACTTGTCCTTTACTGGCAATTTGAAACTCTCCTCTGCAAAGGTCACGGGATACAGATACCCATAAGGCACTGGGATACTTGAATCACGCCGATAGTTGCATGTCAAGTTGAAAAGCTCATTCAGTCCAGTGATTTTACCTGAGTTGGTGGGCGACTCCATATTTGACCAAACCCATTTCTGATAAACGGGGCGTGGCACTTTGGGCATGTTTTCTAAACTTCCATGTATATCCCTGTGGTGGAAGACCACCCCGTGGGCCTTATGGTAAAGTTCCCTGTTATCTGTTAAGTGGCATCTTGTGAAATTGAAAATGTCGCAGTTGAGTTCAAATTTGAAGCCAAACGGCCACATCCAGACCAGCACAACTGTGTCGGGCTCAGCGTCCACTGCTGCCGCCTGGAGCTTCTCGGTCGGACCTGAATGTGATTTATTGAGGAGCTCTGTGGAGTTGCTGGGGATTGAGTCATGGCTCTGTGCTCTCTCTGCACACAGGAAGGCAGGACAAAACTGACCAACTCTTCCTAAATCGGGGTAGGTGATGTCGGCCTTGTACGAGATGAAAAGGGAGATGAAGCAAAACGCCAAAAGGAGGAGAAAAGGACGCTGAGGAGTCCACTGGGAGGCTGAACTGGACATGGCTCACCTTCAGAGACAGAACAGATGCAGCAATTGTAGACACAACAATTGAGTGGACAATGTGTTGAGTTGACTCATTTGTGAAGAACACGTTCAAAAGGTGTTTTTGATGTGCCGTATTTCTCCCCAAATACACTAAATGTATCTGACAAAACAATAAACAGTTGACATACTTTAATCTGGCACAGGGGTCTCCAACCACCGGGCCATTTGGTGCCGGGCCACATGTTGAGAGTGGATAAGTGTATGTAAGTGTATCTGTTCAGGAGGAGGCGATCAATCAGCGATCATTTAACTGACTCGGTTCTTTGAATCTCGTTCAGTAAAATGAATAAATCTTTTTTCAAGTAATTCGTTAATTTCAACGGGGGGCGGTGTTGCTCAACATTTCATGGCCAATTCCCTGGACTAAATACGTCCAATGCAAACACGTATCATTTCATGTAGGTTAGTGCATGTAAACCAGCAGATACTAATTTAAAAGAAACGCATGCATTAAAATAACGTATCATGACAGTTTGGATGATTTGAAATAGTAATTTACTATCACACTGGCATTTAATTATCACTGCAAACAATTACACTGCACTAAACCGTAAGTATAAATGTAAAGTGAGTCCTTGTGACGAATCGTTCACGAACGACACATCACTATTGTCCCTTCCTCAAGGCGCACGGCAGTTGCGCACACCGGCAGACGGGCCTCAGATCTAGCAGACCAACTGCGGGTGGCACGTCATCGTTTGCCGCAGCGGCGGCTGGTCCCTAGAAGGCCACTGGGCGCGGCCCTCTATGGACCCCCGCGGCCGCTGAGTCACACCAAACTCACCTCTGACCCTTACTGTACTCAAGTATTCATTTTAATAGTTAAAATGTATCATCAACTCTAATTGAGATATAACCTTAAAAAAAATGGGTTGGTTTGTTTGTATTTTTAAATATATATATGAATACATTTCATTGGATCATCTACACTATTTATGGATATTTTGAAGGCGTAAGAACTTTCAACTTTCTTCATAAAATGTCTCTTGCAGCCTTCAAAAACTAAACTGATCCCTGTAAAAATGTTTACTAGCCTCAAAATGAACATACAAAATATATATTTTTATTACAATTCATCTTGTTTTTAATCGAACATGTGTAGATTAAAATAGTGATTGTAAGCCTCTTACTGTGCTGTTGGTCTCTGCTGAGCATCAAGTGGAGGAAGTGTGAAGAAGAAGAAGTGATCCTCTGTTCGACTTACGGCACGAGTGTCAAGAGGATGGTGCACAAGGTGTTGACGTATGTATTGTTAAACAAATGAAAATGAATCATTACACAACGGGGAACACCCACGTTAGAGAAACCGATGAAAAGATAAGGGTCTGTATTATTTGCGATACGTGAGTGTGTTTGTGGAATGGAGGAAGATGATTGAATTTATGTTCAAAGTCCAGCATGATATATTTCATGCATAATGTCTCGAGAAGCAAAGTTATGAATAACTGATTTGCATTGACCAGCTTGTGTGTTAGCACCTAAATGAGTAGTGGGAGAGCATACATCCTCAAACAATGTCTTATAAAAAAAAAAGATGCTTTTAAATATGTATGTGATGCACTAGTTTTATAATACATTTGTTTTAAAACAAACATGACCCCTTCCCTTTAGCCAACCTAAAATTGCAAGTATTTTTTTAAGAGCCAGATTCACACCTTACAGTTTTAATAAGGGACATAACACATTTGAACAAACAAGTGTTGAGAACAACTAACCCTGCTGCTGCTTAGTATTAAGAAGAGTTCAATTGAAACTCGATAAAGAGTCAGGAATAATGCTCCATTAGTGTGAAGGTTCTAGGTATCCAACAATAGTTAAATTAGCACTGTGGTGTGAACCCATATGAACCTATATGAAGGAAAACACGTGTGACCAGCGAGTCATATTAAAATGTATACATTTGAAACGTTGAGGATTTAAGATAAAGAAAAAAAATACATGAAATCAGACACTTATTCAAGAATTAAATGCATTTTGTCATCAAAGTAGTTACGTGTTGCTTCAGTTCATTGTAGTACTGAACTCTCTTCATATTTGGGCTCCAGTTGCTCTCAATCCAACACACCAACTTGTCCTTTGCTGGCAATTTGAAACTCTCCTCTGCAGAGGTCACGGGATACAGATACCCATAAGGCACTGGGACTTGAATCACGCCGATAGTTGCATGTCAAGTTGAAAAGCTCATTCAGTCCAGTGATTTTACCTGAGTTGGTTGTGTTTTGTCTGACAAAAACGTAAACGGTTGACATATTTTAATCTAGCACATGGGGTCTCCAACCACCGGCCCATGGACCGGTACCACGGGCCGTCTGGTGCAACTGTATCTGTTCAGGAGGAGGCGCTTCATATAGCATGGAGTCACGTGTGACTGATGACACCACTACTTTATAAAGGGGATGTTCTCTCTCTCTGTATCTGACTCTCTTTCTCTCTGAGCAGCATGTGTGCACTGTTCTGCAAAAAACAATGACACATCTGTTTGTCCCTTAGAATTATTATTTCCCTGTGCAGGTAGACAAAAGGAGTAAGCCTACCTGTTAACAGCACACCACAGAAAGAAAGATTATTTTTTAATTGTTTTGTCATTTGATCTTTTTTACTGGAAAATGTTTTATTTAGAAAATTAACCGGATTAAATTACGCGTGCTCGTCTCTTTGACATATTTCCTTAAGCGTCACCACGCGTCGTTCACCGGCGGACGGAGAGCCCGCGCCCCACTTTGGCCGGTTATTTCCATGTGTTTATCCACCGGACCTTCAAGAACGGCCCGCGGAATATTTCGGGACCTCAGATCTAGCAGACCAACTGCGGGTGGCACATCATCGTTTTCGAAAGCGAGTGTAATCAAACTAGAAAATGCATTTCCTGCTAAAAATGCCTTGGAATGCGAAAAGCTGAAAGATGAAATAAACTTCAGAAAACTGCTGAAATTACAAAGCGTTGAAGGGAATTGTAATACATGTGCTGAAATTGTCAGGGATTGCGGGAGGTAGGACTCAGACGCAGAGTTCAAAAACAAAAGGGACTTTTAATAGTCAAAAACAAAAGGCCAAGGGGCAAAAACACACAGGAACCAGGGGAAAAACGGGAGACAGAAACTACGAACGTCCACGACGAAAGACAAGGACACGCGTGGCGAAAGACAATGACGCGACAAGTGACAACAGACACACATGGCTTAAATACACTAGGGAGGTGCAGGTGATTGGACACAGGTGGAAACTGTTAGACGATCACAGGGGATGACGGGACAAGGCAGGAAGTGAAGTTACCCGGGGACACGAGTGGCAGAAAACTACAAAATATAACATGAAGTGAACCACACTGTGACAGAAATTACAGATATTAGAAAAGCTGAAATTAATTTGAAATTGCTGAAAATACATAAATGGGAGAAGCTGAAAGGATTTAATAGATTTGCTGAAAAAGCAGAAATGAAAACAGCTGAAATGAATGTGAAACATTGCAAATAAATACAGAAGTTGCAGGAGCTTAAATAAATTTTAAAAAATACAGAAATGACAAAAGCTGAGATGAATAAAAAGAGGTTTTAAATTGTTTGTAGTAATATTAGTAGTAGTATTAGTTATAGTTGTAATTGTGGTATTAGTAGTACTATCAGTAGAAGTAGTAATAGTATGTTAAGTATCTATAGCAATAGAAACAGCTGGAATACTAATATTATTAGTCATAGTATTTGTAGTAACATTAGTAGTAATTGTAGTGTTAATACCAGTAGAAATACTAGTAGTATTTTTCCCTAGTCGTCAGTTGCAGAGTCACTACTAGAAGAAGTAGTATTTTAGCACTACTACTAGGAGTCATTTTAATAGCAGTAGAAATACTAGTAGTAGTAGTGATAGTAATAGTATCATTTGTAGTAATACCACTAGTTGTAGTTGTAAAATTAGTAGTTGTTGAAGTCTTAATAGCAGTAGAAATGCCGGTAGTATTATGTCTGCATGAGTCAGTGCCACAAAGGCAATCAAAGACAGCCTAGCTAGCTATCTAAAGACATGAGAGATTTTCACTGGCTGTTTGAGCCACTCTTCAGCCGCTTGGTACTGTTAGTGATTGTGCAATGTTAGCTAGTGCCATGTTAGCGCTATGCTAGCTAGCGCCGTGTTAGCTAGCATAGCGCCATGTTAGCTAGCGCCATGTTCCTTCCCACGTAGGCCTGTGTGTTTGTTATGGCGTTATATTTGTGCCACAATCCTGAGCGCGTAATTGTAAGTTTTGAGCACAGAGAACTATATTTTAGCAAAGAAAAACATATTCCGTGCGCGCAGTTTACTCAGGTGCCCTCTCCACAAACTGGTTTTCTGCGCGCAGGCAGCCGTTGCTGCGCTCTCTCCACCTCTTCACTCTGTGCTCGCTCGACGTTTCACTCACGCGCTCGCTCGACTTGCAGCAGCGTTACATTTGTGCCACAAAACCAACCAATCAGAGAATTAAAGAAGGTCCATTGTGATTGGCTGTTGGTCTCCAATCACAACCATTAGCATTTAGCACAAATGCTGCAAACTTCAACAACTCGCTGAGCTTCCGCGATGCTGTAGGTAGTTCTTTTAGCGTTGTGATTGGAGACCAACAGCCAATCACAATGGACCTTCTTAGATGTAAGAAAGAGTTTTATTAATTTTATCAGGCGGCTAAATGATTCACAATGATGATCAGCCTGTTCATCAAGTAAAAAAATAAATCGGTGTTAGTTTAGTTCATGATCCCTAGGATTGTGTTTTTTACATTCCTCAAAAGAATGCAAAATGAACGCCTGTCATTTTACTGGTGTCAAACTGAAGGGGGGTGGGTGGCAAACGGACCACTTAACGCACCGCTATGCTAAGCTAGCTGCTATGCTATGCTAGCTGCTAGACCAGGCAATTATTTTTTCCATGGGGCCACATGGGAAACAGAAAATATTGTGGGGGGCCAAGACAAAGGCTGAACTCAATTCTGCATAATATTAATCATATTTCCATATAAAAGCAGTATATAACATTGTTTTGACAAGCCTGTAGGACTGGTAAGAGTATTGCATGTTATGAGTAAGCAATGAAAACGCAAGGTTGCCTTACAAAAAATGTCATTTATTCAATGGTAAACAAAAACAGTAATAGAAACATTTTGATCCTGCCAATGAAGCAAAAGAAAAAACAATTTCTCTTTCTGTGAGTGTGAAACGGTCCTAAATTTGCAATTCAGAAGGAAACGCTTTTCCCCACCCACCACTAGAGGTCTGACTTGGGCTTGAATTCAGCCCTGGAGGATAACCATTTCTGCAAAACAAAAATCATCCAGAAACACCAAAATAAACTAAATGTGAACGTTTTTACCATTTGTGACTCATTATATTAGAGTCATTTTCAGCCACATCCATCCCAAAACACCGTTTGAGTTACATATAGCCTACTGTTGGAAAAAGGTTCTTAGCTTTTTAAAGACACCACAATATTGTCTTGGTACTCCAAATAGTAAGCAAGATACATCATATTATAACGATTGTCATTGAAGTGTGATTTCTAGAAAAAGGCCTCCAAAGAAAGTGTCCCAGTTCACTGCTAGTTGGTGCCTTTACGTGCCAGCATTTCTAGTCTAACCACCTCATTGGATTTTTTTCAGTTCAGTGAGAGAAATCTAGTCTCTGTTGGGGCATTCACAAGTGCATCAAAGTCATGTTGAATGTCTGAGGTGGAGATGTGAAGCACAGCTGCCAGATGATCATCACTGAGAGAGGATCTATACCCGGATTTTGCAAAATCACTGAGAATGTATTTTCACATATGTAGGAGCCAGTGCTGTAGTGGTAAAATTAGAGGTGGTTAAACTCTGAATTTTGTGATCATACAGACCTCGACGCGATGCGAAGCAACGCAACACAAAGCGTCGCGACTCTTGTAAGGCTGTCCTGGCTATATTGCATTATGTTATCAGTAAAAGTCATATACAATCAATGACAATGAACACATGTGTTAGTAGTTTGTAGTTTATTAAATCTAAGAAAACAGTAAAGAAAAGTATGTCAACACAACACAACAACACAATTGCAGATTAAGAACTATCTACATACGGAGTCTCCTTTTTACAGTAGTGCCCAGAGGGCCTCCTTGTCCTCCACGTCAGGTCCTGCCTTGCACAGAGGAGCCATGAACCCCAGAACGCGTGTTCTGGGGTTCATGGCTCCTCTGTGCTTCTTTGTCTCTCTATTGGACCTGGTGTTTCTCCTCTCCCTGTGCTCTCTGCATCATTGCCTGTCCTCTCACTGCCTGAAAAAATATGTTGAATTTAACACTTAGCCTATGCACTACCTATGTCATCATAAATAGCCCATACAGCATGTTTTTTTTCACATTGAGAACTGACTTGTTTTCTAATCTACGCGTCACAGGGCGTTTCTCTTGTCCTTTTACCGTGCACGACCAGCGAACACAGAGCGCGCGACTACTACCCCCTACCCCCCCCCCCCCCCGTTGGTCGTTCCGCCCGCAACGACTACCCCCCCCGTCGGACCTTCTCGACCGGTCCGCGAAATATTGTCTGACATGAAACCGGTCCGTGAGGTAAAAAAGGTTGGGGATCACTGGGCTGATCCAACGTGTATGTTTACACGCCTCCTGGATCCTGATTGGTGGTGCTGCTGCAGCCGCAAGGCACTGATTGGATGCTCACAGACCGTAATACAGCGCAGATGAAAATGATTCAGACTACGACGTTTATATGTTCAACAATAGGAAACGTAGTACGTGTAAAAATTACACCAAGTTTATTTCGGATTATTCCAACGGAAGAATACAAGGCGCAGGGAACTTTGAGGTGCGTAAACGCCACTTAGAGGTGCGTAAACGCTTTTTCCAAATTTTAGAGGTGCGTAAACGGCGTTTACGTGCGTTTACCCTCCACTACAGCCCTGATAGTATAGTTCAAATAAAGGCACAATTACATGACAGTTGTGTAATTGTACTGCTGCCATCAAGGTAAAAGACTAAAGACCCAATTAACTGGCTCATTGACACGAGTGCAGGCTGATTCGGTTTGCAGTGAGAATCTCTCCATCACCTGACTCGGCCCCGGCCTTTGTCTCTGAGGCTCTTCAGGTGTGGCCCTTGAAATTGACAGATGTCGTAGAGCCTACGTGGCTTCACGTGCATCATACTGGAAAGGTATTTTAAATGTATGGACATGGTAAAAGGATGTTACAATGTACTGCACAGGCTGTATTGAAACAAATTAAGCTATTACCTGAGGTCGTGTGAGAGACCGTTCAAATGGGATGTTTAAGTTTTATCAATCATTTAATCAACAACCACAAGAAAATGATTAACGTTTGCCTCACTTTACCTGCATGATACGATACCACTAACAAAGCAAACACACGGTATCTATGTAGTTAGCAGTGAGGTCTCCTTGGAGACACTTAAACATTACAGTTTCCAACTTGAGCACACATGCACGCAGAAAGTGGGGCTTCATGTCAACACAGCAGCTCTCCATGTTCTTCTTTAATAAAAGACTCTGCGACACTAACGACATGAAAAATAAGTCAAGGGCTGCTGCATTTAAAATAGTTTTGACAAAATACAAAGTCAACTTTCCTGTGTCGCTCCTGACAGTCTCCTCCCCTCAGTGTTTAATGGTGGAAGCAGACACCGAGGGCCCATTCGATCCACCAATAGAAACTCCTGGTTCATTTAGCGGCGTAAGCCCCGCCCATTATACCAATTTTTTTGTTTGCATAATGAAGACACAAATATACCTTTTATAGCATCTTGAACCATTAAAAAACATTGAAAAGAGCTTTTGTGTTACTTACTAAAATGTAATATTATCAAATGTTTCGAAGACTATTCTTTGAACAACATGCACAACAACACAACTTTCTATCACTCCCGACCCTCTGTACTCGGATCAGGAACCGTTTAGCACCGGCCTCTGAAAAACCCTAAACAATAACCGTTCCTACACCTAACACACCTGTCAACCGCTTCAAAAACAAATCTGATTGACAGGTTGATAATCATTGTAACTCTCGCCACTATAGCAATAAGTACAAAGGGCAAGACATAAAAGATTCTAACACACACACACATATATATATATATATATATATATATATATATATAATCACCCCACAAAAATGAATGAGTATACGTTACAAAAAAGAAGAAAACTATTGGGGTTAGTCCATTGCTTCTCTTTGGTCTGGTTTGAAAGAAGCAGAGAAACACATTAGGACAAGGGACATATTGACCAAAAAAACAAATCATAGTATATAACAGTTAGCATTTCGTGTTGGACACAGCTTTTGAGAAATGCATCGAGTAGTTAATGTTAATGTTTAGTGCCTTTAATTGCAGTACCTGAACTCTATCCACCTCGTTGTATTATTGAGACAGCAACCATGGCAAAGAATGCAAAAAGCATTTTAAATAAAACCAATGAAAAAACATTGAAAAGAGCTTTTGTGTTACTTACTAAAATGTAATTTATTTGTTTCTAAGAACATTCTTTGAACAACATGCACAACAGAACTCACCCTTACTATCACTTCTGACCCTCTGTCTCTATTTGGACACTTTATTAGCAACAAATAAAGTTAAATACAGAGTGTAATATTTTGAATGAAGCGTTCACACCCTCTTAGCCCCAGTACCAAGTGTTCAGATCATTAAAAGCTTGGTACTCCTTGTGGTTTTGTAAGTATCGACATGTTTTACAGGCAATTTCTCTTCCAAACAGAGCGCCTTTAACTTTAAACGTGCTTCTCCAGTTGAAGAACCGCATGTACTCGGTGTGATTTTGGTCAAGGTAAAGTAGCCGCTCTGCCAACTCCTTTGGAGAAGGAAAGTCATCGACATGAATGAAAGACTCAGCTGGGGCGTGGCCCTCATACGTGTGTCTTGGCGGGCCCATAACTACCGGAACACTTCCCCAAGTCAAAGGATTAAAGAACTTCTCTGTGATGTAATCTCTGTGGAAGGAGTTCTCAAAGGAGAGGTAGAATTTACAAGCAGAAATAATTTTTACAAAGTCTTCATTACCAATAGGTTTTTCAAAGGCTCTCCCATAAGCATGAATCGTTACGTGTTTCTTCAGTTCATTGTAGTACTGAACTCTCTTCATATTCGGGCTCCAGTTGCTCACAATCCAACACACCAACTTGTCCTTTGCTGGCAATTTGAAACTCTCCTCTGCAGAGGTCACGGGATACAGATACCCATAAGGCACTGGGATACTTGAATCACGCCGATAGTTGCATGTCAAGTTGAAAAGCTCATTCAGTCCAGTGATTTTACCTGAGTTGGTGGGCGACTCCATATTTGACCAAACCCATTTCTGAAAAACGGGGCGTGGCCCTTTGGGCATGTTTTCTAAATTTCCATGTATATCCCTGTGGTGGAAGACCACCCCGTGGGCCTTATGGTAAAGTTCCTTGTCATCTGTTAAGTGGCATCTTGTGAAATTGAAAATGTCGCAGTTGAGTTCAAATTTGAAGCCAAACGGCCACATCCAGACCAGCACAACTGTGTCGGGCTCAGCGTCCACTGCTGCCGCCTGGAGCTTCTCGGTCGGACCTGAATGTGATTTATTGAGGAGCTCTGTGGAGTTGCTAGGTATTGAGTCATGGCTCTGTGCTCTCTCTGCACACAGGAAGGCAGGACAAAACTGACCAACTCTTCCAAAATCGGGGTAGGCGACGTCAGCCTTGTACGAGATGAAAAGGCAGATGAAGCAAAACGCCAAAAGGCTGCCGAAGAGAATTGGACGCTGAGGAGTCCACTGGGAGGCTGAACAGGACATGGCTCACCTTCAGAGACAGAACAGATGCAGCAATTGTAGACACAACATTTGAGTGGACAATGTGTTGAGTTGTCTGTCATCTCAAAAGGTGTTTTCGATGTACTTTATTTCTCCATTTTTTAAAGTTTCTTTCAAAATACACAAAATGTATCCGAAAAAAGTGCAAACGGTGTTCTTTCACCCCAGTGACATACTCTCATCTAGCAGACCAACCGAAAGTGCCCCGTCATCGATTCCAGAAATTTACATATATTTATTTATGCCCTAGTGTATTTAGTTATTGTGGTCTATCATTATTAGATTTTTTACTTACTTTTTACAGCTGCTCTTATTTTTTTACCAAGTATCTCACTGTTCACTTTGCAGCCGCGATCCTTGGAATTTCCCCATTGTGGGACGATCAAACTCTCTCTCTCTCTAGACAAGGTTAGTTGTTACTTTCTATGCTCCGGTTCGGTAGAATGAGGAAAACACTAAATACCATGTGTGTGTGTATATATATATATATATATACGTATCAGAATTCACTGTGTGTGTATATATATATATATATATATATACACACACAGTGAATTCTGATACGTTGGTATAAGTCAGAGACCCAAGGCCTTTCCGAACGTGTTCGTTTGTAGTTTTAAATACATATGAATTCATTTGTGTGGATCATCTCTAATGTTTAAGGACATTTTGAAGGCGTGAAACCTTTCAACGTTTCACAAAATGTCTCTCTGAACGTTCACAAACTACACTGATTACTGTAAAAATGTCCACCAGCCTCACTATTAACATAAAAACTAAATTTCTTCGTTGCACTTTATCTTCTTTTTAATCGAACATGTTTAGATTAAAATAGTGATTGTAAGCCTCTTACCGTGCTGTTGGTCTTTGCTGAGCATCACACTAGTGTCATAAGGGTGATGTACAAGGTGTATCTATTGTCAAAAAAAAAAAAATGTAATTACACTGCAGGGAAAATCCTTTGTTAGACAAACTGGATGAGCATGTTGGGTTACAAAGCTGGTATTTTGATACGGGTAGTTCGTGGAATCGTGGAAAGTTGAATGTTGAATGTGGAAAGTACAGCACGCTGTACACTGTCGTGCATAATGTATCGAGGTGCAAAGTATTGAACGATTGTGGCAGTACACATTGATTGATCCTAATAATTTTCAGCTGCGTCTGCATCTCAGCCAATCGCTGCATGGCAATGCTTTACAAAAGCGGCCTCACACCTTACAGCGTTAATAAGGGACATAACACATTTTAACAAACAAGTGTTGAGAACAACTAACCCTGCTGCTGCTTAGTATTAAGAAGAGTTCAATTGAAACTCGATAAAGAGTCAAGAATAATGCTCCATTAGTGTGAAGGTTCTAGGTATCCAACAATAGTTAAATTAGCACTGTGGTGTGAACCCATATGAACCTATATGAAGGAAAACACGTGTGACCAGCGAGTCATATTAAAATGTATACATTTGAAACGTTGAGGATTTAAGATAAAGAAAAAAAATACATGAAATCAGACACTTATTCAAGAATTAAATGCATTTTGTCATCAAAGTAGTTACGTGTTTCTTCAGTTCATTGTAGAACAGAACTCGCTTCATATTCGAGCTCCAGTTGCTCACAATCCAACACACCAACTTGTCCTTTGCTGGCAATTTGAAACTCTCCTCTGCAGAGGTCACGGGATACAGATACCCATAAGGCACTGGGATACTTGAATCACGCCGATAGTTGCATGTCAAGTTGAAAAGCTCATTCAGTCCAGTGATTTTACCTGAGTTGGTTGTGTTTTGTCTGACAGAAACGTAAACGGTTGACATATTTTAATCTAGCACATGGGGTCTCCAACCACCGGCCCATGGACCGGTACCACGGGCCGTCTGGTGCAACTGTATCTGTTCAGGAGGAGGCGCTTCATATAGCATGGAGTCACGTGTGACTGATGACACCACTACTTTATAAAGGGGATGTTCTCTCTCTCTCTCTCTCTCTGTATCTGACTCTCTTTCTCTCTGAGCAGCATGTGTGCACTGTTCTGCAAAAAACAATGACACATCTGTTTGTCCCTTAGAATTATTATTTCCCTGTGCAGGTAGACAAAAGGAGTAAGCCTACTTGTTAACAGCACACCACAGAAAGAATGATTATTTTTTAATTGTTTTGTCATTTGATCTTTTTTACTGGAAAATGTTTTATTTAGAAAATTAACCGGATTAAATTACGCGTGCTCGTCTCTTTGACATATTTCCCTAAGCGTCACCACGCGTTGTTTTTCTCTTCACGTGTTCATTGTCCGCTCCTCAACGCGCGCGGCAGTTGCGCCCACCGACGGACGGAGAGCGCGCGCCCCACTTTGGCCGGTTATTTCCATGTGTTTATCCACCGGACCTTCAAGAACGGCCCGCGGAATATTTCGGGACCTCAGCTCTAGCAGACCAACTACGGGTGGCACGTCATCGTTTTCGAAAGCGAGTGTAGGGTCCATAGAAGGCCACTGGGCGCGGCCCTCTATGGACCCCCGCCGCCGCTGAGTCACACCAAACTCACCTCTGACCCTTACTGTACTCAAGGATTCATTTTAAAAGTTAAAATGTATCAACTCAAATTGAGATATAACCTTAGAAAAAAATGGGTTGGTTTGTTTGTATTTTTAATTATATATAAGAATACATTTCATTGGATCATCTACACTATTTATGGATATTTTGAAAGCGTAAGACTTTCAACTTTCTTCATAAAATGTCTCTTGCAGCCTTCAAAAACTAAACTGATCCCTGTAAAAATGTTTACTAGCCTCAAAATGAACATACAAAATATATATTTTTATTACAATTCATCTTGTTTTTAATCGAACATGTGTAGATTCAAATAGTGATTGTACGGCTCTTACTGTGCTGTTGGTCTCTGCTGAGCATCAAGTGGCGGAAGTGTGAAGAAGAAGAAGTGATCCTCTGTTCAACTTACGGCACGAGTGTCAAGAGAATGTAGAAGTATGTGTGGCTAAACAAATGAAAATGAATCATTACACAACGGGGAACACCCACGTTAGAGAAACCGATGAAAAGATACGGGTCTGTATTATTTGGGATACATGAGTGAGTTTGTGGAATGGAGGAAGTTGATTGAATTTATGTTCAAAGTCCAGCATGATATATTTCATGCATAATGTCTCGAGAAGCAAAGTTATGAATAACTGATTTGCATTGACCAGCTTGTGTGTTAGCACCTAAATGAGTAGTGGGAGAGCATACATCCTCAAACAATGTCTTATAAAAAAAAAAAGATGCTTTTAAATATGTATGTGATGCACTAGTTTTATAATACATTTGTTTTAAAACAAACATGACCCCTTCCCTTTAGCCAACCTAACATTGCAAGTATTTTTTTAAGAGCCAGATTCACACCTGACAGCGTAATAAGGGACATAACACATTTGAACAAACAAGTGTTTGTTGCTGCTTAGTATTAAGAAGAGTTCAATTGAAACTCGATAAAGAGTCAGGAATAATGCTCCATTAGTGTGAAGGTTCTAGGTATCCAACAATAGTTAAATTAGCACCGTGGTGTGAACCCATATGAACCTATATGAAGGAAAACAAAGAGGACGGCACACGTGTGACCAGCAAGTCATATTAAAATGTATACATTTGAAACGTTGAGGATTTAAGATAAAGAAAAAAAATACATGCAATCAGACACTTATTCATGAATTAAATGCATTTTGTCATCAAAGTAGTTACGTGTTTCTTCAGTTCATTGTAGAACAGAACTCGCTTCATATTCAAGCTCCAGTTGCTCTCAATCCAACACACCAACCTGTCCTTTGCTGGCAATTTGAAACTCTCCTCTGTAGAGGTCACGGGATACAGATACCCATAAGGCACTGGGATACTTGAATCACGCCGATAGTTGCATGTCAAGTTGAAAAGCTCATTCAGTCCGGGGACTTTACCTGAGTTGGTTGTGTTTTGTCTGACAAAATCGTAAACGGTTGACATATTTTAATCTAGCACATGGGGTCTCCAACCACTGGGCAATGGACCGGTACCACGGGCCGTCTGGTGCAACTGTATCTGTTCAGGAGGAGGCGCTTCATAGAGCATGGAGTCACGTGTGACTGATGACACCACTACTTTATAAAGGGGATGTTCTCTCTCTCTCTCTCTCTCTCTCTCTCTCTCTCTCTCTCTCTCTCTCTCTCTCTGTATCTGACTCTCTTTCTCTCTGAGCAGCATGTGTGCACTGTTCTGCAAACAAACAATGATAATGACACATCTGTTTGTCCGTTAGAATTATTATTCCCCTGTGCAGGTAGACAAAAGGAGTAAGCCTACCTGTTAACAGCACACCACAGAAAGAATGATTATTTTTTAATTGTTTTGTCATTTGATCTTTTTTACTGGAAAATGTTTTATTTGGAAAATTAACCGGATTAAATTACGCGTGCTCGTCTCTTTGACATATTTCCCTAAGCGTCACCACGCGTTGTTTTTCTCTTCACGTGTTCATTGTCCGCTCCTCAACGCGCGCGGCAGTTGCGCCCACCGGCGGACGGAGAGCGCGCTCCCCACTTTGGCCGGTTATTTCCATGTGTTTATCCACCGGACAGTCAAGAACGGCCCGCGGAATATTTCGGGACCTCAGCTCTAGCAGACCAACTACGGGTGGCACGTCATCGTTTTCGAAAGCGAGTGTAGGGTCCATAGAAGGCCACTGGGCGCGGCCCTCTATGGACCCCCGCCGCCGCTGAGTCACACCAAACTCACCTCTGACCCTTACTGTACTCAAGGATTCATTTTAAAAGTTAAAATGTATCAACTCAAATTGAGATATAACCTTAGAAAAAAATGGGTTGGTTTGTTTGTATTTTTAATTATATATAAGAATACATTTCATTGGATCATCTACACTATTTATGGATATTTTGAAAGCGTAAGACTTTCAACTTTCTTCGTAAAATGTCTCTTGCAGCCTTCAAAAACTAAACTGATCCCTGTAAAAATGTTTACTAGCCTCAAAATGAACATACAAAATATATATTTTTATTACAATTCATCTTGTTTTTAATCGAACATGTGTAGATTCCTCAAACAATGTCTTATAAAAAAAAAAGATGCTTTTAAATATGTATGTGATGCACTAGTTTTATAATACATTTGTTTTAAAACAAACATGACCCCTTCCCTTTAGCCAACCTAACATTGCAAGTATTTTTTTAAGAGCCAGATTCACACCTTACAGCGTTAATAAGGGACATAACACATTTGAACAAACAAGTGTTGAGAACAACTAACCCTGCTGTCACAGGGAACTCTAGGTGAGGACTCGGACGCAGAGTTAAGGTTCAGTAGACGTTTTTATTGTCCAACAAAAACCGCAGGGACGACTCTGGAAACGTAAAACTTCTCTGAAGAGAGAGAAATGCTCCAGCAAAACTGAGCGGATTAGGAAACAAAAGAAAAAGCCACTCTCGCTTATCGAGGAAATAACAAGAAGTCAATCTATTGAAGACACAAAACAAAACGTGAGGAGCTGTAGAACTATAAAAGGCTCACAATCATCTATGGAGATCTCAAGGTTCCTCCGCAAGAGAATAAACTGTGACCTGGGCATGACTCTGCATGACGCGGGTGTGCACGGCAAAAGGACATGACACACTGGCACAGGACAAGGGGAGACGCAGACTATAAGTACACATGAGGGAAGTGTGGGAACAGGGGGACACGATCAGGAATCAGGGAAGACAATCAGACTGGTAACACATGAGGAGGGGCCACAAACCTGAAACGAGAGGAGGGTTAATTATCAAAAGTCACAAAACAACCATTGAGACGGGACAGAAGCCCAACTTGACCTACAGGTGTGACACCTGCTGCTTAGTATTAAGAAGAGTTCGAATGAAACTCAATAAAGAGTCAGGAATAACGCTACATTAGTATGAAGGTTCTAGGTATCCAACTGTAGTTA